TTTTACTTGTAAAAAATTGTGGAGTAAGGCCAAAAAGGGTTTTTTTTGGCGAAAATAGTGGAGTAAGGCAATTTAAACCCTTCGGGACACATCGATCTTGAAAAGTTACCCAAAATAAAAAAAAAAGAAAAAGAAAAAAAGAAGGATCACTCCAATTGGACATCTAAGCACAAAGTTAAATCCTTTGGAGGTTTGCATACATATTAAGTGTACAACCCATGAACCATTTCAATGGTCCAACTGCTCAGGTTGAATGGTTTTTTACCATGTCAAGAGTTTTTTACCAATGTCCAAGTTTTTAGGAAAATCAGACCTAAAATTACGACCAAGTGATGGTTCAAATGGTTCAACTGGCCACATCATGGGTTGAATCATTGCTGCTTCTTAGATCAAGAGGGGTGAAGTGGATAATGACTGTCAATTTTGTGGCAATCTGAAAAATTCCAATCATATTATTTTTAAGATACTCATTTGCTAATCAAGTCTGGTCAACTATGAGTTTATGTCTTAATGTACTTATGATAGGAGTGGATAGTGATAAGAGTGGAAAGTGTGACTCTTTGATGGAAGAAATTATGTAAAGATTAAGATGCAGCTACTGAAAGTAAAAAAAAAAATCTTGGAAATGTTGCTTTTATTTTGTGTGGCAATTGTGAAAAAATGAAGTCTAGGAATTTTTTCTTTTTTTATTCCATGTCATTTTTGAAAACAACTAATGAGAGTCAAGAGACTCTCCATTTTAGCTAAAATTGTCTAGACTGTTGGGAATTTTTTTTAAGTGTGAATGAATGTAAAATTACTTTGATTTTATCAATGTATCATTTGCATTGATTAATGATGTAAAAGTCAACCAAAAAACCGGATTAATTCAATTTTTAATGTAACTCTTACATGGGAAACAAACGTCTACAAAAGTGGACTGGGTGTAGAGTTTTACATCGGTCTGCTTTTACAAATGTATATGCGAACAGTCAAGCACAACCTAAGTGATATATATATATATATATATATATATATCATTCTCCTAAGTTATCTATAATTCATATTTATCTCCTAAATTATCACTAATTCCTATTTATCCTCTCCCTCACTTTTTATCTATGTAGGTGTTTTGCATCGCTGTCATTGCTTCAAAGATGTTTAATTTTTTTTTGTTTTTTTTCGAGAAAACGGTGTTGTATGCATGAGGGTCTATTGCACCGTTTTCTTAGAAAATGACTTCTTTTTTTGTTTGGCATCGGTGCTGCTAAATAGGTTGTTTTCTAGGAAAGCAACGCTAGTTTTTTTTTTTTTTTTTTTTTTGTAGCAGTGTTGTATAACCATTTTCAGCATTGATCTACATTATCCAATGCCCAAGATAATGCCACATCATTGCACCGCTGGCAACAACAAGATGTTTTCTGAGAAAACATTGAATTTGTCATTTCTTCATACCACACTTTCCCTATTTCCAAGGCGTGGTTTAGAGCAACATTTTTTTATGGAAAAATGATGCCAAATAAGAGGTTGTTTTTTGAAGCACCACTTTTTTCTAATGTGGCAAAAATATCATTTTCTCATAAAATGACATCAATGCCAAACACCACCTATATCTATCTAAAGAGAGTTTGAATTAAAAAATTAAGAATTACTTAAATATTATAACAAAATTATATAATAGATTTAAAATATTTATTAAAAACACAAAAAATAATTATAATAGATATAATAATATTCATATTACTAAATTTTAAATAGTTAAAATAATCAAATTATGTAATAAATATACTTAAATTCAATAAATAATTAATATTTCAAAATTTTTAATAATGATACTATGTAATTTCACTTATATCAATTAATAAATCTAGAAAAATTATATATACTAAAATTAATATTTATTGTATTTTTAGTAATTAATTATTATATTTTTGTGATAAATATATTTTTAATAATTATGTATAAATCTACTTTGGTTTTGTTATTTAAAATTTTAATAATTATTGGAGATTAAACTACTCTTATTTAACCTTTTAAATTTAATTTATTGTACACATTATATTTATTGTATTTTATTAACTGATTTAACATATTTTTAATATTTATTGTATTTTTAATTATTTTAATCATTGTATTTTTATTAGTTATTATTGTATTTTAATTACAAATTTATTTTCAATAACTGCGTATTTTTCACTATAAATATTTAGTAGTTATTGGTGATTAAACTATTGTTATTATTAGCAACTAGACTATTAATTTAACTAAAATTAGGAGTGCTCACGAGTTGGTTCGGTTCATTTGCAGGCTTTTTGGCCAATGAAATCAAATAGGTCAGGTTGGGGGTTGGTCAGTCGAAAACCGACTGACCAATTACTGAAAATTGACCAACTCGGGTTGTATCAATTTGGGCCGATTTTTAGTTTAGTCAGTTGGTTCAAAATATTTAAACTTAAAAATAAAATTTAAATTTTAAATATTACATTGGTATTATTTAAAAATAAATAAAAATTTTAATCTTACGATATAAAATATTTTAGACTAACATGGTCAGGTTGGTTTGATTTTGGGCAATTTACAAATGGCCAAACCGAAACTAATCCAACCTAGTTGGGTTTGGAAATTGATAAACCAAAGCCGATTGAAAATACTAAAAAATCGACCAACTCGAATCGAATTGGATTGAGTTTATCAGTTTCATCGATTTGATAAAGTACCCTAGTTGAAATAAATTATTGTTAATTCTGTATTATAAAAAAATTAAAAGTAATATATAAAATATAAATAATTATTAATATTTAAAAATTTAAAATATAAAATAATTGTATACTCTTATGTTTTTTCATTGTTTTACTTTCGTTTAACAAAATCCGTACATCGCATGGGTCCCCACTAATAGAATTTATATAAAAAAATTCTTATCTTTGTAGAACCGGATTTCCTTACAATTTACACGTTTCGATATGGATGAGGGAGGATTTGGGTTAAGTGGAAAGCCCTGGAGATGGTTGTATTAATATTAATTTTGGGATGTTTGGAACTATGGCCATTTTTCAAAAGGACAGTGCCACATCAGATCCACATAGGCATTTCAACAAATGCCCATATATTTCATTATTTGGTTCAGGCGTTTATTGAAAAATTGGGCATGCGTCATAAATCGGGACCCCACCGATGCATGAAACATCAAATTTAGTGTTTCATGCATCGGTGAACCATTTCTCCCAACGGTTGATTGATAGGCAATTACGTGTATCCTGTGTGGTGCTTACCTGTCAGCACATACATGAAAAATGGTGATGAAAATCACCTTACCAAACAGCATAGTGTTGCTCACTGCCTACGTGGTAGAAACACTCCCAAACAAAATTAAAGCATTTTTTTTTTTAAAAACAGGTCTTGAAAGCATGAACGTTTTTTTCTTGAAAATCGGTCTCAATAAACGCCCATGCTTCCAAACACCATCTTTGATGCCTTAAAAAGGTTGAATGCTCTTTTATTAATGTGATTGAAGCTTGGGCTGATTGAAAGTTCATAAATTTTTTATTAAATAGGAACATGATCATTAAAGGTGATTCATTGATATTCAGAAGGATGAAGATAACCCACCCTGAAGCATTCATTAAGAGGATAATTGAGAGTTGTCATGACGTTTGTCGAAGATATGTGTTAACGTCCAGTAATCTCACGCTTTTAGGGAGGCCAACGCTGCTACTGACTATTTTGCAAATAGATCTTAGAAGACCAAAGACTGCTTGATTGAAATATTTTGCATAGATCTCAAAAAAAACTATAAAAGCTAGAAGACCGTTTGGTAATGTGAATGTCTTGGGTGTGGGTCAACAAACCTTTCATTTAACACGTGGGACTCACGTACATTTTCTAAGGTGGGACTCACGTACATTTTCTAAGGTGGAACTCACATACCATTGGTGGACATGTATGTGGGGCCCACATACATTTTACAAGGTGGGCTTGACATACCATTGGTGGCCATGCATGTGGGGTTCATGTGTGGACATGTATGTGGGGCCTACATATATTTTGCAAAGTAGGCCCCACATACCATTGGTGGACATGCATGTAGGGTCCATGTGTGGACATGTATGTGGGGCCCACATACATTTTATAAGGTGGGCCCCACATACATTTTACAACGTGAATCCCACATAATACCTAATATGGGCCCCACATACCACTTTTTGTGGAAAGATAACCCATTTTCTTCCAAGCGTGTACATCATCACACATTCGAGGAAGACGGGGCACTAAAAGATTGTAAAAGCTTCATTTGAAGCTTATTGAAAAAGCCCAAATTCTGAGTTCTTGCATCTTTTATAGGCTGGAGCTTTTCCACAATAGATCTTTTTATTGCCAAACAGGAAAAGCCCAAAATTCAAACTATCGGGATTCTAAACAGCCTGAACCCCGTACAAAAAGACTTGCCAAACGCGGCTGTTGAACCCTGCGTTGAACCGACCATGAGTCCTGCATAAAATAAGTGCTTTTTTTTTTTATCATAACTGCTTAAAAATAAGCACTCCCATACAAGGACCAAATATTAGAATTTTTGCTCCTGCGCATTGAATAGATTGCTCAGTCCCAACTCCGCAGAAAGGGAAGCAAAGACTCTGAAAACAGAAATTTAGGTAGAGGCTCAAGAGAGATCCACGTGTTTAATTTGCAAACACTATCCCCATTCCACGTGGCAACTTAATGAACAGTCCCTCCACCGAGGGACTCTTTAGGACTCTGACCTGAGACTGATAAGAGTTGTGGATGCAAACAAGGAGTAAATATACCCCATGGAGGACGATGGAGAATGAAACCATCGTGACATCATCTGGGCAGCTGACATGTGTATGGAATGACACACAAGTCTCCATGCAGACGGTTGAAATGATTTGACATGATGATATTCTTCCACGTGGTAAACAGTGGATCGTGGGGTCCACCATTCAGCCCAAAGCCCTACGGCTATATTAGAAAGGAAGATTCCCTCTCTCTTACCTGCTACCCTGCTCCCACCGTCCATCTCGCCAGACGGGACCGACCGAGAGAGAGGGGTCACAGTAGAGAAGGCAAAGATGGTGGAACATTTTCTCTCACATTCTTTTCTTTTCCTCTGTTTGTTTGTTTAGTTTTCGTTCTTCCGTCAGTCTACGCTATATATCAATATACGTAGTGCCTGTTTTTCTTTCTTTTTTGGTGGAAAAGGAAAAGACGGGATAGGCACCGTAAAGCTGCAAAAAATTCTTTCTTTCTCCCACTTTCTCTGTCTCTCTTTTCTCTTTCCATCCCTCTGCCTGATAAGATTCCTCACTTCTATGCCCTTTCGATCTACTTATTCGAGCAAAACTTCTATTTTCTTCTCTTTCGCTGATCAAAATTTGCTTCAATTCTCTTCGTAAAGCTCCATTTTCATTGTTTCTTCCTTGGTGTCTCTTGCATTTGAATGTAAGTTTTCCGTCGTTCATTCTTCTCTGAAATTCATCTTGCCTTCTTCTTTCTGTTCCCTCATATTGTCCCGGCGTAATTCTTTCCTTCTGATGTTTTATTTCGATACTCTGTTTCGATTGCCTGCGAATTTTGATACTAAACCCCCGTTTTTGTACTCAATTTCTTGCATTTGTCTTCCGTCTGATGTGTTTTTTATATGTTGCTTTAATTGCCTGAGATTTCGGCTCAAAATTTTATCTTTCAAGCTTGATTCCCGCATATGATTATTTACCTTAATTGTCTACCGTATTTCTCCATCATCGTTGTCCGGATCATGCTCCTCTTGTGTCAGTTTTCTCTCTGAGAATTCCCGTTTCCGAGGCAAGGAGTGATCAGCTTTTTGGGTAGTTTCAAAAAGCAGAAAAGCACAGTGTCCTAATGGCAGATCGGGGTCGGTTGGTTTGTATTGAAGAATTGCCCAGTCATCTAATTCTAGAGATTTTGAGCTCCGGCCGGTTGAGTGCGGCTGATCTCGCCTGTTTAGAGCAGACTTCTCGCCTTTTCAGAGGGAGCCATGACATATCCCCCCTCAAGTTCCGCTCTCTGGTTGACTTCGCTGCATTCCAGCTCTGTGACTCACATCCCATATTTGGTGCTATGCCTTCTAACGCTCAGAAAGAGCTCTTTGACCGGTGCAGTGAGAATTGGAAGCGGGTGCTAAGGTTCTTGCAATCTGTGGAGCAATCCTCTGACATGGTCGAGACCTCAGCAGGCAATGTACTATTTCTTTGATATTTGTTAGCGTTAAACTCTTTTCCTCGTTATCGAGGTTGGTCTTGAGGTTAAATACAATCTTCTTGCTTTTCTGATAAAACTCATGTTTTGGGGGATATATTTCTTTTATGTTAGCCTACAAAACAAGAATCTAGATTTAGGGAGTGCATCCTATTCCACACTATAACTTCTGCGGTTTAGAATTTCCTCCATTTCCAGCGCTAGTACTAACAGCAATGTCAATGTTTAATAGGGATTTGTCAAGTAAGCAAGATTTTAGGTTATGTAAATGCGATTTTATCACTTCCTATAGGGTACTTGTTAGACACTCAAGTTTTATACTGTTCATATTACCCTGGATTTCATGCACAGACGGGAACGTTATGTATGTAATAGTAGGTAGAAGTTGATATCTGAATAACCGTAAACATTTATGTAAGTTTCTTCCCAACTATTTGAAAAGGTCATCAGTATCGTTTTCTTAGAAGGTTTTTAGAAGCGATTAAATAGCTATTCTCTCACTTTTTTTGTTTGGGTTCCTGGTATTAGTAGTCCTATCTTAAATGTATGATTCAAATATTGTGGCTAAAAGATTAAAAAAAAAAAAAAACGAATTGAGAAAGAAGATTGCTCGAGCAACTCAGTTGATTTCTTCCCCCACTTGAGAAAGTAATAGGAAAAAAGTCTACTTCTTTTATTTGTTGTATTAACAGATAATTTTCATATTCCCTGTTACTCAGAGCTTGGGCTTCCATTCCTTGCTTGAAGCTAAATGAAGGGAATGTTTTTGTTTCAGCAGATGCAGATTACCACTGGAAGATACCACACGTTGCTGATTAGTGGTTCTTCAGTTTACTCTTGTGGATCCAACTTATGTGGTGTTCTGGGTCATTGTTCTGGTGTCACACAATGTGTAACATTTAGCCGGATAAATTTCCCATCTCTATCACACGTAGTTCATGTCTCAGCCTCTCATAACCATGCGGCATTTGTCATGCAGTCGGGAGAGGTTTGTAGTCACCAATACATCACATGTCTATTGTTTTGGATTATAAAAGTTTTTTCTCTAACTTGTTATTTTAAAGGTTTCAGAAATGGTAATTTGCAGAATGCTATAATCATAAGCAAAACTTTCCCTGTTTCCTATCAATACCCTACAATTTTCATTTTCGAATTTTCACTTATTTGTTTTTGGTTAGTGGGTTAAGCCCAGGATAAAGTTTAGGCCAAGTAGTGTTTACAGTGGTTTTCTGATGAGCCAAGGAACAAGTGGATGATCCAAAATGATAGTGGAGAATTTGGAATAGAATTTTGTTTTATCTAATGCTGATATGACCAACTAAAGTATAGGGAAAAATCCTGCAAATATAGGATAAATATGAATATAGAGGAAGTTTTACCAAAATGGTTAGTTCTTTCATGTTCAAGATTTGATGGATCAGGCAATCCATGGTGTTTGGGGTAAACTGTTACAAACAGTGCACTTCTTTGCCCTTTTATATTTATTGTTTTGCCTGTCTTTTATGTATTTATTTGATTTTGCCTTCATACAAGGTGCAAAACCATAGATATCAGGGCCTGTGAAATTGGTTCCACAAAATTAATTTCAGTAATGTGGTTTTCTAGTCGTTTGGTGTTTTCTCATACTATAATTGTTTAAACGATGCCCTCTTATGTCACCCCAACTGTCCCTTTTTTGGTCCATGTTCATTCATTGATACTCAAGTTAGTGCTATCTTTCTACATGTCTTTAATCTTCTATTGAAGTTATCATTTTCGTTCCTTTATAAAGCCTCTTTTGTTCTTCTTCTGAAATAAATCATGATTTTTCAATTGACAGATTTTTTTCTTGTTGTGTGCTCTTATATTATATATAGGAGGATCAATAATCAGATGGATGAATATATTGAGACTAATACAGAGAGATGCTGGGATCATGATATTTGCCCTATGGCAGTTCTGAATATTTACTATTCCTCTATGTTTTATGTGATTTTTGATACAGGTGTTCACATGTGGAGATAATTCATCATTCTGTTGTGGTCATGGAGAAGCAGGCCGCCCCATTTTCAGGCCAAGGCTTGTTGAAGCATTGAAAGGAGTTCCCTGCAAGCAGGTAGACTGTGTGTGCCTGGATATATCTGTATATTTTTCTATGTAATGATAGATGCATTTGTTACATTATCTTAATGCCTTTGCTTGAAGTTGTCAAGGTAACACCTAGGCAATGGGACCTTTTTGCTAGTTGCTTTGTGGCTCACCATTAAGTTATTTTAAGGATGGTACACCAATTTTAGGTTTAGTGCAATTAAACTTTATAGTATTATATAAATAAGGGTTAAGAGCATCATTGAAGACCAATTTTCAATTTATAGACTCATTAGAACTATTCAGGCCATAGTACTTGTTAAAAGAAATACTTGTCTTAGAAGTACTTATTTTAACAACCACTTAAGGCTGTTTGATAACCCACTTTTCAAATCACTTATTATGTTTTTAAGCACTTATTGGGGTGGGGATGTTTGGTAAGCTATTTTCCCCATAAGTGCTTATATTTACACAAATAACAATTTTACCTTCCACTGTAGATTACTCAGATCTCTCCCTCTCCCTCTCATTTTCTTCACCGGAACTGTCGGAACTGCCAGAATTGTAGATTGGACAACAGAAAGACTCCTCCAATTAACAACCTTCACAAAATTCTCGGATTCCCATTTCCATCTCCCGAGTCTCTCTTGACTCCCTCTCCTTTTTCTGTTGTCTTCTAGCTTTATCCCCAGCTAGTTCATTTGATATCTTAGCATCTGGTTTGCCTCCAACTTCATGCCTGGGAGGATTCTGTTGCTTCCAACTAGTATCTTACAAGGTCCAACTCTCGGTGCCCAAACCCAGAACCATGAATTGTAATATGAATTACAACATGACGGACAACAGATTTTGCAGCAACTACAGCTACCCTTTTTCCAAGTGCATTTCTCTGCAACTGCAAGAAAAGTGAAGCAAACATGAAAGCATTACAAAGATCAAGCATTAATTAACAAACTAGAACATAAATAGGCTAAAATATTTTAGGCTTACCTCGGTAGAGTTTTTCTTTTCTATTTTATTTCTCAAGAGTTGCAGTGCTGCAAAGTTATCGACAAAATTTTTGTGTCTTCCACAGCGGCCTCTCCTAGAAGTGTAATAGTTGCAGCAAAGATTATAGCCATCTAGACCTTTGTCGTAGAAGCATTCCGTGCATGTAAAGTAAATTTCCTTTATCCATATTCCACACCCACCATAGATTACTAATCTTTCTGTTGAGATGTAAAAGAAGACAATGGCTTCGTCGAAATCTAGAAACCCATTGTTGTCCCTGTCCTTTTCCCCATTTTCTGATGTTGGTATTGGAGCCCCATCTCCTATCGAACAAAGAGAACCATAGCTTGCTGACGCTTTGCAGTGCAAGCAAAAAAGGTAAATGATGTTGATGCAGATGGAGTTTCTTTGGTGATTGGGGGATTTCGATCGCCAAAACTCGCCATTTCTACCGATTTTCTTGATTCTCTAGGGTGGGTGGGTGGGTCAGAGATAAGGGAAGAGATGAAAAATTGACCTTTGGGGGACTTTGGGAAGGGAATGATTTTCCCTTTGAATCAGCAATCTGAGTCGAGAAAATTAATGGATTCACCCTTCGAAGAGAAACCCATCCATAAAAAGGGCGTCTTGTAACCCAAAGGCCAAAAGCATTACTGATAGAGATCTGACTCATTCCGAATCTTCTCTCTGGCCACGGCATAGTCTTCATCTTCACACCCACTAGCGGAATCAATGCACCACCTCTTCTCAACATGTCGGCTTCACCAACCATACCAACAACGACAACTTTTATTTTGAAACTCGAATAGGGGAGTTCAAGTGTAGATTTGCGAAGAACAGGGAGTTCAAGTTAGAAAATAGAAGAAAGTGGCCAAATGACAGGCCCGCCGACCACTTTTCCTCATTGCCGATCGTCGCCGGTGGACCTGCAACTGGTCCGCCGCTACCTGGGTTTGATGTTCGAATGAATGGAGAATGAGGTATAACCCTTGCAGGGGTATTTTAGGCATTACAAAAAATTATTAGGGACTGGTTAATCCCATTTTTTTTGGAGAAGTACTTCTTCAAGAAGTACTTAAAAAAAGCCAACTTGAAGTCACCTTTTTAAAGAAGTACTTTAAAAAAAGTACTTCCTCACTTTTTTACCAAACACACAAAACCACTTAATAACCACTTAATGTGTGGTCCCATCTCTTAAAAGAAGTACTTGTTAAAAGAAGTACTTCTTTTAAGTGTTCTCAAACACTACCTTAGAACAAACCACAACCACCATGAGAAATTATCATGTTCGCCATGGTAGGGCTTCCATTATTAGTATTCATAATGGTATTCTCTGGAAGATGCCTCTTATTCTCCTTCCTTCTCTCTTATTTTTTTTTTTTTGTTTTTTTGAGTAAAGGTAAAATATATTTTGTATTAATCAAAAGGCCCTTTGTACAATGAGAAGCTGTACAAAAACAAGCCAGAATGACCTCAAAAAAGTATAATCAGATGTGTCATCTTTAAAATCTGTAAGTATAGAAAACCAACTTCTAACAAACCCTATGGCCATGTTGATGACCTCAGCTTGAGAGGAGACCTTGTGATAAAAAACCCAACTATTCCTTTCAAGCCATACAGCCCAGAGAATTGCCAAAGGAATGGAGGACTAGCAAACCTTTCCTTTCTTTGTCATCCCTTTTATATGCTATTTCTCCAAACATGCTTTAACTAAGGCAGGCATACACTAACTTCAGAATCTTTGTAAAGCATCTCCAAATCTCTGAGACAAATTTGCAATGTAAAAACAGATGATTAACTGATTCCGTTTCCACACTACAAAGGCTGCACCTCAGGTCACTGCAGTTAAAGCCTCTCCTCACTAGCATCACTTTGGAAAGGCATTTCTCTAAGTTGCCACCCATTACAAAAAACTTAACTTTTGAGAGTGCCACTGTCTCCCAGATGGCCCGGCTAGGAAAAGGGACTTCATTTTTTCTCACTATAGAGCTGTAAAAGGATTTTACTGAGAACTCTCCCAAGCTGTTCCATTTCTACACTCTTGTATCCTGAGTTTGTAAATTTAAAACCTGAGATTGAAGAAGAGCTAGGAGATTTCCTACCCGTTGAATCTCCCAATCATTAAAGTCCCTTCTAAAAGGAGTCCAGCAGCTGCTATTACCTCTCAGCACAAAAGAGTCAGCTACCAGCACCTCTTTATCAACAACCAAATTGAACAAGCTGGGAAACAGCTCTTTAAGGAGAGTTCTCCCCAGTCCAAGGATCCAACCAGAACCTGATCCTTCTTCCATCACCTACTTGAAATCTGATGCCTCTTCTGAAAAGGGTGGAAGCTCTGCAGATTCCTTTCCACAAACTGGACCCGTATGTCAATAGGGGTGAACCACTTTCCCAACCACTATTATCTAGTCCATTCTTTTTGGCTATTACCTTCCTCCATAGGTTATCTGGCTCAGCATCAAACCTCCAAAGCTAACTTCCTAATAAGGCTAGGTGAAATGATTTTATATTCCTTATCCCTAGGCGCCCTTGTGACAGGGGCTTGCAAATCTGACCCCAGTTCACAAGATGGGTGAGAATCTTTCCAGCCCACTGAAAGAAAATCTCTCATCTTTTTTTTTTCTAAAATCTCCACTATCTCCATGGGGATTGGAAAGAGAGTTATAAAATAAGTTGGCAAACTTGCTAAAACACTATTGATAAGAGTTACCTTCCCACCTTTGGAGAGATACCTTTCTTTCCAAGTGGCCAATTTTGTATCCATCCTCTCTAAGATTGGGTTCCAGATGGCTTTGGATGTGCATTTGGCACCAAGTGGCAACCCCAAATAGTTTGAAGGTAGAAGACCAACTTTGCAGCCCAGCAAATCAGCCAGACTCTGAATATTAGAGACCTCACCCAGTGCTATCATTTCACTTTTTGCTAAGTTCACCTTTAGTCCTGATACAATCTCAAACCAGAAAAGGAGATGTTTCAGATTAAGAACTTGATCCTCTGATGCCTTACAAAAAAAAATAGGGTATCATCTGCATATTGCAGAATAGGAATAGCAGTCCCATTTGGTTTCACTTCAAAACCCTCCAACAGCTCCTCCACAGCCTTGCCTACCAGTTTAGTTAGACCTTCCATCACTATTAAAAAGAGTAGAGGAGAGAAGGGGTCCCCTTGTCTTAACCCTCTTGAATTGGTGAAATTTCCTCTAGCTGCACCATTAACAAGCACAGAGAATCTTGGAGTGGATATGCATACTTTCAGAACTGGTGAAATTTCCTTCTCTCTTAATTCTTATAAGCAAAAATAGAGCATCTTCTCTCTCAGAATGGCAGATTAAAGGCTTTGTTCCGTTTTTTTTTTCTTTTTTTGTGTTTTCTCAGTAATCATTCCTCTCACTCTATCTAATACTAGAAAAAATGGCCTCATCAATCCTTCTCTTTTCTCCACAATTAACACATATATACCTCTCCTCCATGTCTCTATGGCTTGCAACACAATATAGAGTTTCAATTCTTTAGATTTTCCTTCATTCTTTAAATTTGTTATCAGTAATACTGTAACAATACTTTCTACTATTTGAATTATCATAAATGCATTAACATAAAAGGTCATCAGTAAATAACCTTTTTTGCATCTCCTTCTTGCATTAACAAAACAGCACATTGCTCCTAGTTTTTTCTCTATGGACTATTTAGTGTTTGCTTTTACTCTACTTTTGTTGTATGTTCTTTCATGTGAGTTCACTTTGAATATCTGTTAGTTGCTACTTCAACTAGGGAACTAGCTTACTAGTAAACATATTTTGTAAAGAAGCTAAAACTAACCAAGTTATTTATATTAAAAAAATCATTACCTAGGTGGACGCCTAATCACCTAGGCATCCCCCTAGTGTCTATTCTTGCTTTTGTGCCTTGACAACTATGCCTATGTTCAAGGGTGACTGCAAGGGGATGATAATTAGGGTTCATTTAGCATGATTAAGGGGGGTAAGAAATTAGATCAGTATTCAGTACACCCTACCATGACCCCCACCCAGAATCCCAGATAGCAGGGATCAGCACTCGGTAATGGCCTTATCTTGACATGATTCAACCTATTATTAAATAGTATGGTTGAGTTTGGAACCTAATTAATAATTGGGTCAGACCCAACCTGAATTGTTTCCAGACAATGTTGACCCTCTAGATGTTAGACACTATTGCATATAGAAATATTGAGGTTGGTGTGTGAATGCTGACGAGCAAAATTTACGGCAACACTGAGAACATGTATCTTCTGCAAAAATAATACCTTTATGTTAGCACTGTTTCTAAGTTCTTCAATGTCAAACTCAAGTGATATGTACTTCATCATATCTTAAGGTGGAAATCAGTGATTTATTTTAAACCGAGTTGAAATTTATATTTGAAGCTAATATTTTTCCGTCGGTGGATATTGATTACATGTTAATATTTAACTTAAGATCGGTAAATTATATTTAATAGGCATGTGGTTCAAAATTGTTATTTCATTCTGCTGATGTAATCCTTTTCTATCCTCAACTGAAATTTCTTCCCTACCTCCCCCACCCCTATTGTAGGTTGCAACTGGGCTTAGCTTTACCATGTTCCTTACAAGAGAAGGCCATGTATATACATGTGGGACAAACACACATGGCCAGCTTGGCCACGGTGACTCTCTAGACAGGTCAACACCTAAAATTGTTGAACAGCTTGAGCGTGTAGGTTCTGTAGTTCAAGTTGCTGCTGGACCAAGCTACTCCTTAGCTGTAACTAGTGATGGAACAGTACACTCCTTTGGGTCTGGCTCCAATTTCTGCCTTGGCCATGGAGAACAACATAATGAGCTCCAGCCACGTGTAATCCAATCATTCAAGAGGAAGGGAATTCATGTGATCCGTGTCTCAGCAGGAGATGAGCATGTGGTGGCACTTGATTCCAGTGGATATGTTGGTCTCTTTACTTAATGGAAACTAAATACTTTTATTGAATTTATAGTATCATGATATATTTATAACCTGGTTGTAACTATCATGATCTCAGAATAAATTTGTGTTTGCAGGTATACACATGGGGCAAAGGATACTGTGGTGCATTGGGTCATGGAGACGAGATCGATAAGACTACTCCAGAACTACTAAGCAGCCTTAAGAGCCACCTAGCTGTCCAGGTTAGGCCTCTTTTCCATCAGAAACTCCGGTTTAATAATATCAGGGTAGGGGTGATCATTTTACTATATAATACTCTAAATTTGTTTATAGAAGTATAATTAAAATGTTTAATATAATATTTTTGAATTTATAGGCCTGGAAACAGGCCTGAACTAGAGACCTTAGTATAGGTGCTAAGCCCAGCCTGGCCCATGATCACCCCTAATGAATGATGCAAAATTCCTATATTGATTCGAATGTCTAATGCAAGTTGCATAACAATATTTTTTTATTAATAAAGTTTCATAATAATATTATTGGTCTAAAAACCTATTTTGTGCAATATTAGGTCTTCTTTTGGGGATCGGTAGGTGTGTTTTTTTGTGGGGGTGGGGGGGGNGGGGGGGGGTTGTCAACAGTTTGGTCTGTGCATCAGATTGCTTTCAGTATGGCATGTTGCAGGCCCTCAGTATGATAAAAAACCTGAGGGTTCATTTCTAGACCCAAACCCAAGGCAAAATTGCTTTGATCATCCTGATGAGGACTGCAACATGCAATTCATGAATCATGCATTTAACTATGTTATTGCTATTCCTGCTAGGAAAGGATAAAATTCAATTTTGTCATAGACATGATAAGGATGAGTTGTTAAAAATGTATTTTGACCTTGATACATTCTTAAAAGTAATGTTTTTGGTATTGCATGGTAGTCAGGTATTAAATATTAATTTGACAGAACTGAAGAAGATCCAATTCCTAATGAGCTTTGTTGCTACCCATTGTAGATGTTTTCCGCGCTTTCACAATGGTGAATCAGTTGGCACCCAAAATCATTAGGATTATAGGATCTTATTGTCCAATTAAATATGCATAGATGAGGTTATGTTCACCTTGTATAGTTGTATCTCTTTTGAACAATGGCTTCCAAATAAGTTATTTTATGATGCCCTGGATATATTACTTTGTAATGTTTTATTATGTGTTGGGTGAGAACTACTTTCAGGTGATGGGAGGAGAGCAGATAGACCTTTAAATGAAAATTTTCAAGGGATTGTGGTCCTTATTAAAAAGTCTTAATATAATGTTTTATTATGCTGTTATGGGTTTCATCCACATCTTTCTCTTTCATGATATTTTTTCGTCATTTCATCTCAGATCCTCCCTCCCAAATAAGTTGAATCTTTGGCATTGCAAAACTTACAATATTGTCATCCAAGTATAATATCTTGAAAGTTACAGTTGTGGATTTGCGTTTTTTAACTTGTGCTTCCTTTCCTTTTTATGACTCGGTTGATCCCATGTGGTAACTTTAACTCCCAGTGACATGTATTTTATCTGAATTATCAATTATGTATAGGTTTGTGCAAGAAAGAGGAAAACTTTTGTTCTTGTGGACGACGGCTCTGCTTTTGGTTTTGGGTGGATGGGATTTGGGAGCTTGGGGTTTACAGATAGGGAACTTTCTGACAAAATCTTGAAGCCTCGAGTTCTTGATAGCCTAAGATCTCACCACATTTCTCAAATAAGCACTGGGCTGTATCATACTGTTGTAGTCACTAATAGGGGTCTCATATTTGGATTTGGAGACAATGAAAGAGCACAGCTTGGGCATGAATCATTGAGAGGATGCCTCAAACCAACTGAGATCATTGTTCCAGAAACGATAAATGAAGCTGCCGATATGGAAGAATGTGTATGATCTTGAAAATATACCTTCTATGCCAAAAATGTGAATTTGTAGTTTACTAGTTGATTAGCAATTTAGTATCCCACTTTGTTTTTTGTTTTCAAAAGAATTTAGAGAGCACTTAAGCAAGTATTTTAATTCAATAGTGCAAGGGTAAATTATTGTTGTAATAGCATTGATGTCCTGTTTTGCTTAGATTATGTGGAATTAGGAAGTCAAAAAAGTCCCAAGGTAGTGTAATATTTATTTATCTGTTGATGTTTTGTTGCAATCTGGTTTTATTATGCAATAAAGAGTTGTTTTATATATATATATATATATATATATATATATATATATATATATATATATTTTAGGTATTCTTGGATTTATTATGAAATATTGTAGCCCAAATAAAAGGGTGTTTGCCAATATGTATGATTTTTGTTTTTGAAATAAAAAACAACTTTCACATGAGCAACATCATATTATATGGAAATTGATATCCTTTACTTATTTGTGTTTGGATTTGATCAAGTTCTCTGATAAAACTAAACAGATTTAGTAAACCAAACAAAACACGCACTCCTCCTTCGAGACCCGACCAGCTATGACTAATGATGACTAATGACTCGCTTCTAATTCTTTGTCTTAAGTGGGTTTTGGCCGTCTGGCATATAAGATATAACCACTTACCATTATCAATCTTTGCCTTTTCTAAGCCATGTTGATGTCGGGTTGGTTGTGCAAATTTTATTAATCAATTTGGCATTTCCTTTTTAGAACCACTTGATTTGATGTCCTTTTCCTTTTTAGAACCTTCAACTTGTACCGAACGACTTGTTCTCGCTGACGTTTTCAGTGAGGCTTTCTTTTGCGTGATGAACAAACTTAGTCCGGCATCTCTCGACCAATTTATGGACATTGTTTCACTCTCCGAGGTTGGAAAACCCAAAGACCAGATTCAACCAATTATTGAACAGCCCGGGTCATGTAAACATTTTACAACCACACTTCAACTCACCAAACATTAGCCAAAGAGATTTGGGGTTCATAATCAGACTTATTTCCATTAGATGCTTTGGCCACTGCAAGAAGGTATTTGCACCATAACCTCACTCATTTCTTTGGGTTCATAACCAAAGAAATGTTCTTCACCAGTGTGAAGGCATGGTAAGAATGTACTTATTGTGGTCTTAGTACAAATTAGAAATACAAATATGGACTTACGAAATACCAAGTTTTGCGCTGCTCTACATACTCCTTCCAAACTGAGCGTGCAGCGTGCTTAATATTACCCTTAGCGCTGAAAATGCTTATCCGAAATTAAATCTGTTCCAATTAAGGCATTTTGCAATAAAGATGTCAATTCATTAGGGTTCCCTCAATGTTCATTTTTCATCTTCTTTCTATCCTAAACATTAAAACAGGCAACAAAGAACAGGTTTCCATTGTTTTCAGATTGTAAAAAAATAGTAAAAACATTGGAATACCAGCTAAAGGGAAAGACCTGGTAAAGAAGAAAGGGAAAAAGTGGTAAATAGAAGGAATAATGAGATTCATTACTTAGACGACATGAATACCTGCTTTGTCATTTGAAAATCATGTAATGCACGAGTTGTACTAGTTATAACAAATTCAGTTTGAAAATCATGAAAAAACTTCAATGCAAGTTTGATTCCAAAAGAGCTAGATTAGAAATCGATAACAAATCTGGTTATATAAGCATTAACCATGTATAATATATGGTATATGGATTTAACTTTTATGACCCGCACAAAACCAAGAAAAGCATCTTCACATCCATTATAACAAAATTTATACAGATCGAAATGGTTCAGGGAAATTTTGCCATTTGTTTCTTATGATTGGATATCTTTTATTCTCAAAACTGAAGTCTAGGTGGAAACCAATCTCAATTAAAGGGCCATTTGATAATAGCTAAAATAGCTGAACTGAATAACTTGTTGCTTTGATAAACTAGTTGAATAATAGAATATTCATGAAGGGATCAGAATCCAGTTTTGCATTTGGGTAACTCATGGTTGAATGATGAATACAAAGGCATAGGGGGTGATATTCTATCATATACAAATAAAATCCCTAGAGTAGGGTGCACGGGACGGGAGGTCCATCAACCTACCCACAGCCCACAGAGAACTTGGTAGTTCCTCAGATTTGATCTTGTGCCTCCATTTTTAGAGGGATGCTGACATCTCAACTACTGGGTCATTGGCTTTATTTATGTAGGGAAAAAATAAACAACTTTCAAACATCTGAGTAGTGAGTATAGCAGTTTGCCATGTTAGTTCCATCCTTGTAAGGAAAGAGAGAATGCTCTTTTTGATATGGCAACATCGACTGAGGAAAATTAAAGGAGCATTCCTTCCATTTAAATAGAAGCAAGATTCATTGCAATGGCAAATGACAATATTATCAATTAAAAGTACAGAAGACTCTAAAAGCAAGAATATTAGAAATTAATAAGGTTGTATTTGATAAATTTTCTAGTAAAAGCTTTCTAAAGTTTAGCATATCAAAAAGATTGTGAGCTAGTCTTTGAAGATCGAAACCTCTTTGCAGTGTATACTTTTGAATGATCTTCTCAAAATACAGAAAGTCCAACTGGACTAATTTTTACCTCCTTGTTGCAGCACATGGTAAATTTTGAGAAAGAGGTTCTTCACTCAGATCTCCTTAATTAATTGTAGATTATAAAATGCAACCTGGCTCGGTCAAGTCGTTCAAATCTAAGCCCAACCCAACCCAACTTCTAGGTTTGACTGCTTAAGTCTTTACTAACTTGGGTTGGGCTTGGGCCTAATAAAAGTCCCCTAAGCAATCAAATCCATTTGCAGCCCTACACAATAAACATGTGGATGTTTGTTGAATCTCCAGAATGGAGTCATCAATGGACAAAGATCCTGTATTGCCGTCACACATGGTCAATGGCGACTCTACCCATCAACTCATGGTGAACAAACATGGATTATCATCTGGATGCCGGAGGTTTCTCGGGTTAGGCAACTAGGATTGCCAGTTTGAGTTCAACCGACAATGCTATTTTAATTTGTTGCATTCAGATCATCCAGTGTTAGATGCTGAATCAAAGATCTCAGATGATGGGCTTTACCTAATTCCAACCAGAGGAGAAATCAGATATGGCTGGTGAAACTGTCTGTGTGATAGCAGATGTCTTCCAAATTAGTCAATAATATACAAATTAAAAGATGAAATTCTGTAGTTTAATCAGGTCTAGAGCTGCAGACATACTTCTTTTTCTTTTCTTTATTATTAAAATAAAAAAAAAAAACTAGGGAGAATGATCAATCAGTCCAGATCAGAATTTTATAACCCCAAAATACAGGGTGAATGCATCCTGACCGTGAATTGATGCTAAATTCACGGGCAGGAAATGGTTTATAGGGGGAGAGGGCAATTCTGCATCGTGTGTATCCGTACTTGTCCGAAGAAACTATGGCTTTGAGATTCTGGGGCTACAGGTTTTGTAATTTGGGAAAAAGGGGACGGTTTGTTGAATTTCAGAGACCCATTGTTTTCTTCAAAAGTTGTGTGCTTGGCATGTCATACTCATGTGTAATGATAGAGCTGATTACACAGTATATATAATAAAAAAACATTAAATAATAACAAACAGATTCCAAGAGCTCCTCCTTGTCTTTGTTGAAGCACTGGGCTTGTTCTATGCAGGCACTATTCCTGATATTCCTTGCGTGGGGGACCTTTGGCCGCTCTGAAAATTGAGAAACTCTTCCTTTAGCCTGCACTTGGAAGTAGTGTAGAATCTCATGGATGTAGAACTCCATCGATGGAGTTTCACACCAAATCATAAAAAGGTTTCGACCGTTGATCTTGAAAAAACGTAGGATCGACTAGCAAAGAAACAATATTAGAGTGCCTGGTTTGTTTTTTCTGGGATGGGCACTCCAAAGTTTAAGTCAGTGAATTGGAGATTTTGGAGAGAACTAGGAACTAGAGTATTTGAGAGCTGAATCGTGCGTACTTTCTCTAAGGGAGGGGACACCTTTATATAGGCGTAAGGAACCGATAACTTCTTGTAATGCACCTGGATTCTATGGAAATCGTGCCCGCTAAGTTTGGAGGAGATCTCTGAGCTGGATACGTGATCCACACAGAGGGATAAGATCCGTCCGATCAATTCCGATGTGAACGATGCAGATAAACGGGTCTAATAGTCAAGCGTCATGATCCCGGAGAAGTCAGAGACAATAACTCACTCAAGGGGGAGATCCGATCCGACAGATCGCTAATTGAATTCAGGTCAGATTGTCGCCTCTCATGCCGACCTTGCGTCTAGATAGAATTGGGGTAGTCCGGTGGAAGCATGTCCCATCACACACTGACTTAAGATCTTATATAGTTGTTCACAGTTCAGTCTATCGGGGTGACTCCGAGGTTACTAATGCAATTATAAAGTGTCCGAGGTGAACTACTTACGTGGTGCCAAGGTATCATCCAATTATGCCACGTGTCATGATGTCATTGGACAAATTTTAAAAATTGATTTACAATATAAAACTCTACTTTACTTTATTCAAACGCTGATAAATTAATTTAAACCGAGAATGGAGTTTTATATCAAAACATCCTTTATGATCGATGACCAACGGTTGCTTGCAATGTTTGGATATATGGCATTAACGTGGCACGTGGCAACAACAACACTAGCAAACAAAATACATCATTTTCTCACAAAACGGTGTATTGTTGCATGAGAAAATGCTTCTCAAAAATCGGCAATGGTGGCTTATTTCGATGCTGATTGTGATGCATAGGGGGGTCCTGATTGTTTGAGTTTTTCGAAAAACTGATTCTGTTTGGGTCCGCTGATTTCACTTCAATTTCACCGGTTGTCAAATGTCAATGCATGTTCCTATTTCTCTTTTATTCTGATTTTCTGAAACATTCCTTAATTTGCAGGGAAAATGAGATAAACAACATAAACTGCTGTTCCTTTCTCTCACTTTTACACGACAGAATACAGATGAGTGGTTGGTGTCCCTCTGAAATCCAATTTTTAGTTGTTCACTTGTTTGAGCCTACCCCGAGTGCAAACTCAGCTGCAAATCCTTGCCTATAATGACTACCCTGATTACAAACAGGACTGCAAATCGGAGGGAGGGGTTCCTGCTTTTATGAATCAGTTCCAAAGACACACTAATCAGATAATGACCTCTTTGACAAAGCCGAAAGGAGTGGTCACGATCACATTTGGTTGAGCGTTTTTTTAGCATTTTACCATTGGATCGGTTTCTGTCAGATCAGATGCTGCCTCTCAAGTCTCAACCGAGAGCCTCAAATCGATTTGATTTTTCTTTTTTAAACAGACAAAAACATCAAGGAGAGAAGATACAAAAATCATACACGCACAAACAAACAAGCTCAGAAAAATATTCACATCCCCGGATTCACTCCATTTTTCTTTTTCTTTTTTTTTTTTTTTCTCCGATTTCCGAAAGTTTTTGTGTTCACCATCTGTTTGAACACTTGGAGCCTCTTTCTCTCTCCATCATTTTCCCTTCTACTCCATGGACTCCAGATAATCACCGAAGACGTCCAGCATCTCGGAGAAAGTAACGATTCCGGCGAGGCTATAATCGTCTTCAATGACCCACACGTAATTCACGCGGTGCGCCAGCGCCTGTATCATCACCGCCACCAACGAGCTCCCTGGATGGCACACGATCGCCTCCGCCCTCCTCACCATCCTTGCCGAGTAACTCCCCGATCGGCTATACCGGCGCGACCGCAATGGCGCCGTCGGCGACGAGGCGAATTCCTCATCTGAAGAAGAAGACATCGAAGAAGACGATGATGTCGAAGAAACAGAGAATTCCTCCAACAGCTCCAGCATTCCCTCCAACTTTCTCTCTTTCAACCTCGCCTTCACCACTCGGACCAAGTCGTCCGGCGGGCCTCCACAGTCGATGTAAGCCATCAAGTCTCCTGCGGACAGGGTCCTGATCGCTGCTGCGACGGTCTCGTCGCAGCTTGCCAGGGTGAATGGGGAGATCTCCCCTATTAATTTCCCATCGTCGTCCACCACGGCCACGGATGTCTGCTGAGACAGGGAACTGGAGATCAAGTCCACAGCTGAGTAGGCCGGGTCGTGGTATCCGACGGCCAGGACTTCAGTGCTGATGATGCCGAGAGATTCGACGGACAGCGCCGCGATGGGTGAGAAGAGACCGATGGAGCTGAGGAGGAACCGAATCACGTCCTCCTGAGTGAGCCAGCAGAACTCCCGGCCGTTGTGGAGTGTAGGACCGAACGAAGATTTCTGGAGGAGCTTTTTCCTTGAATTATTGCTGATGCTGCTCTGTATTGGAACGATCAGGTTCTGGGCTCCTTCGAGAATGAGACGAATCGCATCTAACAAGCTGAGAAAAACGGAGAAACAGAAATTAATCGCCTAACTATTTTACTTGAAAATTTTTACATAGTAAAAGTAAAAAAAGAGATATTTAATTGGAAATAAATCCCAAGAAATAGACGTATCTGCATTTATGATAAATGACAAATTTTGATATGAGAAGATCAATAAAATGGTAGAACAAAATTCATGAAACAATCCGGAACTGAAGGGTAAACAAAGGAAATTTTAGTTGAAAGGCAGTGACCATTGGCAGAGGATTTTCATGAAAAAAATATATATTTTAAGTAGCCAAAAATAAATCAGTCAAAGAAGTACACCCTGAAAATTTCTCGACATGGAAAAATATATATTCAAATCGGAACAGACGCTAATGATTTTTTTTTTTATTTTTATCTTAACCTGAAATGTGGCTCAACATGCCTCACAATCCCTGCAGCCTTGGGAAGAAGAACAGAGATCGGAGATTTAAGCGCAGAAGAAGGACACGCAAGGTTCTCCTCCTTACAGAGAAAGCAGATAACATCAACCATGCAAATCTTCCCGATACATCGACAATCTTCGAAGTCGACCTTGGGCTTTGATGAGTGATCGCAGCTCCACAGGCTGAGATAGTTCTCTTCTGAGCTCTTGAGCACCGACAACGCGTCGCCAATGGTGGCAGAGATCGAGAGCGACCTCAGCGCCGGTTTTCCAAGGCAGAGGTCGGATACCTCATGACCCAGCAAGCTCACTGCCATGCAAGGACGAAGATCCTCTAAACAGAGGGAAAAACCTGCGAAAACCCTGGAAGCGAGAAAAGTAACGAAGTTGGAAAAAGAGCGAGTGAGAGACGACGAACAGAGATGGAAATTAGGATGAGAAGGTAGGAGGTCCAGCCTTTTTTTTATAGACAGCGGCTACCCGGCTACTGGAACACCTGTTTTAACAAATGAGTACGGTATATAGAAGCGTGGGCCCCATTTCACTTTTTTTCTTCTCCCAAGTTGGACCCACTACAATTTTTTTATTAAACGTTCTTATTAAGTGGTTTTTAGGGCTTTTAATTACAGCTTCTGAGTGCGTTATCGCTAATTTAGTGGCAACTATTTATAGTGCCGGGTCTATATGGGTTGACCCGACCCGACTAAATGGAGGAGCTGCTGGATCCGACCCAACATGTCCTAATAAGGCTATAACTCTCAAATATGAACATTCAAAGGCTGCCATTTTCACGGGGTCGGGTTTTTTTTGGTGAATAAACTGATTCCATTTCACTAAACCAGAGAAAGAGATACATCTAAAAACGGGGTCGGGTTTAGTACGGGACTGTCTCAAAAGAACCCGGTCAAGCCTTACCGCTTAACCCGACCCACTGACCGTTCTTAATTTGTCAAGATCGTTGGAGAATCTTAAACCGTCTGATTTTGGTGTTGAAAATGGCGGAAGAGGTCAAATGAACTGTTTGGATGTGTTGAAAAGAAGGCAGAAGTACTTTCTGAAGGTTTGCCACCTGTCACGTGGATTGAGGTTTTGGACCACTGTTATCTACAAGTGTACCATAATGGTACCGAAGAATATGAATAAAAGAATGAGGGAGCAAAGCAAATGGCCTAAGGCAATGCAGTAGGGAAACGTAAAAAGCAGAAAAGCAAGAAGCAAAAAGCATCTGTAGTGTATGGTTCCGGCAAACTTATTTGTTGATATTTGAGGTGGGGCTGATCCAGTAAGTGTCTCTATCCTCAAAAAGCGAGACAAATTTGTGCTTGTGGAACCCCAATGGAATGGATGATCTCGTAGCCCCAGAGCCAAGATATTGCCTCGTCGGAAGTAGGAAAGGTACAAATGTACAGTACCAAACTCTTACTATCTCCTTGGATGGGATGAGTAATGAGTTACAAATTTGTTTCATCTCATCACGTCACATGCAGAGAAATAAGAAATTACATTAATGAATCAACTTGTTTTTTCTAGCAACTTTACTGTTTCAAGTTCTAGGGTTTGTTTGGGTAGAGACAGACCATGTTCATACATATCTCCAACCTTCCTGTCCAGAGTACTAGATTTGTATTTGATTGGACTATCTGTCATACCAACTCTACTGTTTTCATAGTTCAAGGGTTCATTTGGCAGGGGCAGACCATGTTCATACATCTCTAAGAGTACTTGATTTGTATTTGATTAGACTATATGTCAAAACCAAAGTCTCTTTGCTTGATGCAAATTCTTATGATTATGCATTGCTCTAAGTTTTGAGACTCAATAAGTCAATAACTCATTAAATGCACTTAATATGCTTCCCAAAGAACGGTCCAAATTAAGTGCTAACAAGTAACAACAATGAATAAACAAACATCAGTTGAGACATGAGACAGTTCACTAACTACCAAAAAGACGGTTCACTCATGTACATTAATTAATTTTCAAAGAAGACAATTTTTTTAAACTATTCTTATGGTTTAGCTAATTCACTAACTTTACTTTTACTATTTAACTATATTTTGCACAATTCTTACTCTTTCTGATAATTGCCTAAAACCTCCTTTACCGTTAACGTTCCATCATAAACCATTTACATATGACTGTTATATTTTTCAAAAAATATAGTCCATAAGGGACTCACTTTCTCACTGAACGATGTTCAAAAAACTCGTCACAAACTTTGGGCACTTCTTGCCCGTAGCAAGTAGTGAAGAATTCCATGAACTAGCTCCAGTTTTTTATCGAGCCAGGAGGCAGTCTATGGTACCATAATCTCGCAGCACCTCTGAAAGTTGTAAAGAATGCCATGTAGAGGTAGGCATCATCCACCCCATGGAGTAGCATTAGGGATTGGAAGCTATCGTAGTGGTCATTGGGGTCGGTATTCCCATCATAAGTCTCCGAGATGGGTGCTTTAAAGTTCTTCGATTGCAGGGCCGAGAGGATTTCTGGTGCTAGGGGGGAAGACCGGATCAAAGGAATCGAGGTCGGCTGGACTACTACCAAGCTAACTTCTTCCCTCCTCTTCTCAACCTTCGCAGTAGGGGCATCACTTCTTTGTCACCTTGTTGGTGTTGTTCACTTCTGTATCGGCCGGAGTCTTGGCCTTGACATTCTCCCGGTCTCGGGCATTCTCCCTGACAGGGGTTGTGTCCCAGTTGTCAAGGTGGTAGGACGGATCTGGGGTTGAGTCCTTTCTCCTCACTCACGGGCTGTTGGTTGCTGGGTTGCCGGTCATCTTGTCGATGGCGATGCTGGCCATTCTGGGGTTGGTGGTATTGGTCACTCTACGAACGATAATGCTAATCATTCTGGGAGTAGTGGTGTTGGTCATTCTGACGACTACACTATTGCTGGTTCCGTTGGTCGACTATAAGGGCTTGGGGTGGTGATGAATGTCAGGGAGGTGTTGGACCCCGAGGGGGCGTTGGGCCCCGAAGCGGTGTTGGCCCCGAGGTGGTGTCAGACCTCGGGGTGGTGATGGAAGCTAGGGCTAGCGGTATTGCTGATGCTGTTGTGGTGGCATGAACACTTTGAATCTCTCTTCCCATGCACGAATATGGAGGTTCATGCTTCTCACGTACTACACCAGCTCATAGAATTGTCGTGCATATATCCCGATGGGAATCGTTGAAGGCTCTACCACTAGGAGAGGGGCGCTCACATGAGGCAGTAGTGTGTTGACTTGTTGTAGGGGGAATGTTGGGTTCTGTACAATTGGTACTCCTGGAAGAGTCAATGGCACTGAGATTTGTCCAATCATCACATAGGGGATCTCTGGATTCATCGCGGGCTGGTCTTGCCCCCTAGTGGCTAGTACTTCGACGTTCTTGTTGTTGTTGCTGGTAGATGCCATTGGATATGTGAGAGTGAAAAACTAGAAGTAGGAACTTAGATTTATGTTGTGGTTCCCATAGATGACGCCAATTAGTGGTGCATGATCTGAATGCTCCTAGCTGGAGGACAGCTTGAACGTCAGTTTGCTTTGTTGTCTGGTCGAACTACAAGAGAAGAATGCTTAGAGGGTCCGGGGTGGCTTACCCGGTGTAGGTGCTCCGATGCTTAAGTTAGTAATTTGGAATGTGAGCTGAAAGCTTGCATGCTAGAAAGCTAGTGAGCAAATAATTGTGCATACCTTGTGAAGTTTGGGGTTGGTGCCCTTATATAGGTGAGCTACTATAGGTCTTACAAAACACCTTCGAGATTCTTGGTCCATGCTGCTAGGAATCTGTTCCGCACTCAGACATGGACTTCGTGTGAACTGATAAGGTTTATCAAGTTCGTTCGATTTCAGTGGGATGAGGATAAGGCTTGTAGACGTGCAACGTGATCTTGGAGAGGTTGGAGACAACTGGCTAGCTTCTAGAAGTTGGCTACGTGTCACCTCGGCAGGTCGGGCCATCACAAGCTTCTCGGACCTCGGTCTTGGTTGATGTGCCCAAGGTACCCGAGCTAATCTGGCCTACTGAGGTGGCAGGGAACACTGAGTTGTCATCCAATCAACAGATCGCTTCTATGTATTCGGGTATTGATAGATCGGGCCAAATTACCCCTTATCAGGGATGAAAGACGGAGACAAAAATGGAGACGGAGAAGGAGCAGCAATATACGTCCTATCTTCTTGATTTTTTTCATCAATTGGATTTTATTTTAAAAATTTGAAAAAATTTGATATTTTGCTGTTTTTTTAACACTTAATAGTAATATCAATTGTAAAAAAACAATAGGGGTGGTGTAAGAAAATGGTTAAACAATAATGATAGAATTAATTAATTAACTAAATCATAACGATAATTTAAGAAATTTGCCTAAAAAATATACATTAATTAATTTAAGATCCCACCATCGTACGTATTTAAATCATCTACTGTCCAGACTTTTTGCTACAGTTCGCCCCCACATCCATTGCGTATAGTTAAAACTTACAACCGTAACTGTTCACTCCGGAATTAATTCTTCAGGAAAAGTGTCTCCGACGGTGATAAAACAAAACCTTTGATGATTACTATTTACTAATGAACACAGACAGTCGCATACATGGATAATCGATCCGACCAGAAAAAAGAGATTCCACCGGGGCTCGTTTTTCCTTTAGCTCAGAATGTGTTTGAGTTTTGATGGATTAACTCGTCCGAGTCACAATCTTCAATCTATGTGGGAAATACAGTCACATCACCCAAGGTATATGGAGTCGAATATTCAGTGATTATACTCAACTGATTCCAGAATTTTCCATCCTCTAATGCGGATCACTAATTAAAACCTGGGAAAATTTTCTTATAAAACCTAGCAAAGATTTATTAAGTTTAAATTTAAAAGGAATATAAATATAAATACATATAAAATAATATAAAATGCAAGATTTTGCACCGTACACAATTGTATTAAGGTATGATGAATTGGTGCAAATGGTATGATCGCATCCACAGTCTCTTCCCTTACCCGGTTAGCTGGGTCTAGTGGGAGGGACCCGTACTTGATTGATAAATAAATTACTTTAACTTTGGTCTCTTGTCTACTGAGTACTGATTCATTAATAGCTGGGTCACAGTGGACTAAATATGGCCCCTACAATCCCAATAACTTGCCAGCTGGCATACCATGTTTCAATCATCACCACTTAATCACCCATTTCTTAGCCGAACATCGACATGGACAAGAAAATTAAAGCCTTTTCAATTTGGTAAAAAAAATCATCGATCTCACTAAGCTGATTTTCATTGGTGGTGTGCATGGTACAAGGGGTTAAATATGGTCTCAAAGGAGTTCAAATCTGCGCCCCACTGCTTCTTGTCCCACAAACACCCTACAGATCGAAAATTCGCCATCTGTCTATTCGCACGTGGTCAGTATTGCCACGCACGAGATTAATGGGATGATGATTAGCCTCAAAACTAGCTCAAAACCCTCATTTCT